ACATTTTTCCTAAACCCTAAACCCTAAACCCTAATAGGGATTTACAGGGTTCATAGGGCTTGGAAGGTCTAAGCGTTCTGTAACGCTTGGGGTTTAGGGCTTTTGAAGGATAGGGGTTAGGGCTTATAGGGTTTATGGTAGTACTTAAGCCGTGGCCTGAGAGGTTTAGGGTCTGACTATTTTGGGTTGTCGGGATTTCATGTTCTCGGGCATGGAGGGATCCAGGCGTCCTGGCCTTAAGCTTCGGGCTTAGGTGTGGATGTCGGACAGTGGTATCCGGTGTTTTATACAGGCCTTGCACAGGTTTGAAGAGAATCGTCTAAACGTTATCAAAAAGTTCGGGCACCATCATTTCAAGATTGATACTGTACGCTTGAGGATGCAGGGGCTGAGAGAGAAATATGCGACAACCTCATTGCTGCAAGGGACATCTCCACACTGTCCTAGAGTTCTGCTACATTGGTCTCAAGGCGTTCTCTTTGGGAGGAGAGACGGCCGTGTGTGGCCCTTTCCGGCGGACGACTGCAACGACTACGACGACAACTGCTGCTACTACCCCTGTCATCTCTTGTTCCCTCTGCTGCTTCGTACCACACCCAAGCCCTGAAAGCCGGGCATTTAGGGGGATAGGTTGTAAGTAGAGCCGGTAGGCATATCACCGAGGGAACCTCCGCTACAGCACTTAAGTCTCTGCTTACAAGTGGTACAAGCAGATGGGTTGCCTACAACCGCACGGCATCGGACGGATCGCCTGTGATCATTTTTTGACGGGCGTAGAAGGACGATAAACGGCGAATCTACGGCTCAACATCGCTGCTCACAGCCTTGGACGTTCACGCTTCAACTGCGGAGCATCTTGAACCCCTAAACCCTCGAAACAAAAACCCAAACCGTAAACCCGAAACCTTAAAACCGCCACGGCAAAAATCCCGAATGGGTAAACGGTTTAGGGTTTAGGGTTTAGGGTTTAGGAAAACCTGAACTTGCAACTAAGAAGCAGGACGGCTAAGGCCGCACCGAACCACTGGCGCAGGCCGAGAGTGTCCTGGGCGACACTTTGGTCCCGGTTTCGATTCATTTGGGTACTCATTTAGGCTTCTTGTCTGCCACTTTTCAGGGCCAAATCAGGGTAGAAAACTCCCGAGCAGTTCAGAATCAAGAAAAGTACATAAATGAGATGGTGGGTTTGGTGAGCAGCTTTCCAAAGCACAAGGTGAGTCTCCGCATTTAGGTTTGGGTTGAAAGTTGACACTGGGGCCTTTGACAAGACTTGGCGCACACTGAAGCTCCAACCCGAAGACCTTAGGCACCAAAGGCGAGTGTCCGAAAAAGGCCCAAGCCTTAGCAGAGCCACAACGATAAACCCCGAAACCCCCAAACCCCAAAACCCTCAACCCCAACCCAAGACGCAAAAATCTCCAACCCCCGCGGCCCTGCCCGAAAGCCTAAAACGTTCAACGTCAAACCCTACACTCGCTACAAAGCTGTACCTTAAAATGCTGATGGAAATCCTTTCGGCAAACCCTTTAGGAACCCCGTAATAGAGGAGCCTGATTGATTAGAAGAAGGTTTTGAAGCAGATTGCAGTATAGTACTATTAAGGAACCTTAAGACTTACTGGCAATCAGCCTGTCTTATACCATGTGTATATATATATATATTCTATATATATATATATATACATATATATTATATATATATATTAAATAAATAAATAAATATATATATATATATACATACATATACACATACACACATGTATGCATGGATGCATACATACATACTTACTCGGACATGACATCCCACAGAAAATCTGCCCGGTCTCCCCACCGCCGCAGCTGAAGCAGCAGTCGCCGGGTCGCTTGTCCTCTTGCAAACATGTTGGTTTCGGGGCCTGGGGTTTATGGCTTAAGGCTTTAAGGCTTTAAGGCTTTAAGGCTCTAAGGCTTTAAGGCTTTCAGGGTTTAAGGCTCTAAGGCTTTAAGGCTTTAAGGGTTTAGGGGTCTGGGGGTCTGGGGGTCTAGGGGCTTGGGGTGTATGGTTAAGGGCTCAAGGTTTCGGAGGGTTTAAGGTGTGTTGGGTTGTTGGGGGGGGGGGGGGCTCCAAGTCTCGTGTTTGGTTTCGAGGCTAGGGTTTTGGTATCTATACCCTAAACCCTAAACCGGTTGCTATTGTTGGGGGCTGGGACAGGCGAGGGTTGAGGGGTTCGAAGTCTGCTGTCGGGATTTTCGGGGGGGGGGGGCTCCGGGCTAGGGGTTTAGGACGATTTTCAGTGATGCAGGCCTGGATGCCCTCTACCTATATGACTCCGAGATTGCAACCCTAAACCCTAACCCTAAGCCCTCCAATGAAACCCTAACCTCCGGGGTTTTGGTAAACGCTTCTGTGGGCCTCCGGATAAACATCTGCACCAGATAGCGAGGATGCGGTGGAAGGCTCCGGGAGTGGCTGCGGATCATCCATTTCGCCCGCGGCCATGGCTTGGGGAATCAAGGGGCTCCCTGTGGGATTTGGGCCGGGGAGGTGGGATCCTTACAGGGATCTACAAGGGCCCTATAGCCGGGGTATGGGTACCAGCTGGGTGGTCCATGAGGCTCTGTGGCTAAAAGGTCGGTGGAGTTGTTGCCAGCAGACCAGCACTCCAAGCCATGACTTCCTTGAGGCTTCTGGTTTCTGATCCGGTTTCTATATGTGTCTACCTAGGCAACACACAGAAAGCCCGTTTCTTGACGAAGTTATGAAGAGCTCTATGCTTCCCAAGCCACCGGACAAGGGCAGGGGTGAACCCTAAACCCCAAACTCCATGGACATAAGGTAAAGGGGGGTACTGGCAAGACGGAAAGCTGCAAAAGCGACGGAAGGTGCGGAAACCTTGCGCCCTGCTTCGGCTCCGGGGGGAAGGGTTTACGGGTTTAGAGTTTGGGGTCGAAGGGTTTAGGGTTAAGGGTTGAAGGGTGTCGGGTTTAGGGTTTGAGGGTTTAGGGTTTAGGGTTGGCAGCTGGGTCGAGAACAAGATGTGTTCGGACTGTCCATACCTACGGACAGAACGGCCGAAACAGCGAGGTCTGGATGATTCTAAGTGTAAGCACTATCCTCTGATACTCCTTGTATGTATGTGTAGCCCGTGCGCCTCAGAAAACATATTGAATGTCACCAGGCCAGAAACCGGACAGGGCCGTCAGTAATTAGAATCTTTGGTTGATGGAGGGGGGTATATTCTAGAATACTTATGCTTTAGGAAAAGGACTAAAAGGAGTGTTCATTAACCTATAATAGCAGTTCAGAGCTCCTGAACCCACAGGTATCAAAGCATGGGGCCTCTTGACTCTGAAGCAGGCTGTCTACTTGGAGGATCATAGGACTTAGTAAGTAAGGTTATAAGTCCCCTAATTGGGGTTATAGGTATAGTTACCTTAGTATTATAACCCTACTTGCTAAGTCCCATGATCCTTTAAGTAGTACACCAATAACCCAGACAGAACCAAAACCCTAAACCCTAAACCCTAAACCTTAAACCCTAAACCCTAAACCCTAAACAAGTCCCATGATCCTTTAAGCAAACCCTAAACCCTAAACCCTAAACCCTAAACCCTAAACCCTACTTACTAAGTCCCATGATCCTTTAAGTACTAAACCCTAAACCCTAAACCCTACTTGCTAAGTCCCATGATCCTTTAAGTAGTACATGGACGGCACTTCTGGAATTTTGGTTGCGCGGTAGACGGAGCCTGGGGCAAGGCAGCGGTTGCCACGGTTTTAGGGTTTAGGGTTTAGGGGTTTAGGGTTTAGGGTTTAGGGTTTAGGGTCAGTAACTAGTAGCGGCTTCCCTAATCCCTAAACCCTCACTGGGAAGTCTCGGTAATGCAACGATAAAAGCAGCCGGATTCGAAGTGCAACCAACTGACAGCGATTTTTGGTATCAAACCTTTCGCGGGCTTTCTCGTGGGACATTCCCACCGGTGAACTATGGGATCCTCATGCGAGGTAATCCCAAGGTTCCCGTCAGGTTCTTCAAGGATCCCTGAGGATCTTATAAATGAAACTTCGTGGCAAAAAAGCCACGGCAGTCCCGGCAAGGAATCCCTGCTCAGTGCCAACATCCAACAGCCTTGCTACTAGTTAACAAACCGAAACCTTGCATCCGAAACGCACAAGTAGCAGAGATCACACTGTACGCAGCTTCGGCCGCACAAAAATTTAAAACTGCAGCTTGCGCGAAGCTCTTCTGTTTCGTGCCGGGCTTTGGGAACCTGAACGGTCACAGGCTGGCTATGCGATGGGCATGTTTGTGTATAGCTCTTGCAGACTGTCGCGCCATGGACTCGTGTCAAGCTCTAAAATGTAGCCATGTTGACAGGGGTATGGTGATGACAACTATCTGGCTGCTCCTTTTGCTGTTGCTATTGTGGGTACCAGCTGAACTGTTGCAATGTCCCCTGCTACCGGCTGGATGCGCGACTGTTTCTGATCATGCGACAGCTAATCCGGTTGAGAACCATGCCACCATTCTGCGTGCTGTTGGTAGTACCACCCGACCCGAAAAACGCATAGGCCTGCAGTTCGACTACTTCGGGGCACAATGGTTACGAAAGGAGCCATTCCCATGACTGCCGGCATCGCTGATGCAGGTGCTAGCATTATTGCGAAGAATCTGTGGATGCTTTTTTTGTACCCATCATTCTCAAGTATTGCAACTAGTGGCTGTCTCATGCTAGTACTGCTAAGGCTGTTCTGGCTGTGATTCTCTACGAGATCTATCACCACTGCCAACACAGCCAACTTGTCAAATCCTTCTAGTGGAGCACTGACCATGATACCAGTACTGCGGCGTTGTTACCATGCGAGGCCTACTTCCAAAGTCAGCAACTGCCAGCACTGACTGGCTTCTGATTGAGCATCGATGCCTGCACTCATGCTATGTTGTTGATTACGGTACTTGCACCAATCACCGCAAACAATACCTTTGGCTACCAATTAAAAGTGGTGCTGCTACTGCGCCAGTTGTTGCTGCCATGAGCACTGTGTTGGCAAATCCTTTCTCTTCGTCTTCTTCCAGTTATTACGCTGCGCATGACTTGCGCCAAAACCGGATAAGGTTATACAAAGGTTCACATTACAGGGAATTCACGGTACATCGTGCCACAATGCTGCCAAGCAGCGAATCGTTGAAAACCTGCAAGTTGCGCAAAATGAATAGGTACACACATGTATGATCAATCGATCTATCCATCCACTTATCGATCTATGTATCTATCTATCGATCTACCTATGTACCTAAAACATCAACCCATCTATGCATCTAACTTATCTATCTACCTACCTATCTATCTACCTATCGATCTATCTGTCGATCTATCGACCTCTCCAGACTGCCTAAACTATCATTCGATCTGTATGTGCATATTACATAGATGTACACACACATGTATAACACACTTTCTGCGCACTGCTGATAAGAACTATCATGATCATAACTGCTGCTTGCCACTAACTTTTCACAGCAACAACAATCACATGAATTATGGGAACAGACATAGACATCGACACGGTATCCATGCACCCCTAAACCCTAAACCCTAAACCCTAAACTCCAAAGCGATGCCGAGGCACGGGGACCAGGAACCCAGTTACACCCCCCACACGAGCGGGACGGTCACGCGCAGGATCAGCCAGATGAGCCCAGAACCTCCAAACGGTTTAGGGTTTAGGGTTTAGGGCAGGGATGGAGCATTGCGGATTCTAGTGGGCTCATACCGTTTGGTCTTATTGGGAGCCCTGCTTAAACGTCGGTTCGAGCTGGTTGAAGGACTAAGGCAGACTTGTTGACTCCAGCGCTCTATGCTCATCTTGTAAGTCCTTGGGAAGCAAATAGAAAAAAACAAACTCTAATGTTGGTTGACGTAAGAACGACATGAAATAGAGGACGAGTGCAGGGCTTTGGGATTCAGTGAGGCTACCATTGAGGGCTCTAACTTATGGATTCTTGGGGTGACACTTCACGCCTGAAGCGTCGAGCTCAGAACTGGGGAGGTTCAGGGCAGGTGATTAATAGGATTTTGGGGGTTCCTTAATAAATTATTACACTATAGTATACCCCCAAACCCTATTCAAATTATTAAAACCCCTACATTTAGGGAGAACAAATGGGATCCAGATTCCCTTCAACTTAGCTCCACGCGACTCGAACCCTAGTACTGGACTCGAAATTGAAATCCCAGCTGTCGACGCACGCTTCGCGGCTGAGAGCTTTGGTCGCCTTCGAACTTATGCCCAAAACCATAAACCACAAAACACACTACTTCCCGAAACTTTCTTTACCTCCCCCCATACCGAAAGCTCATAGCTTATCATACCGTGATATAGTTAGGACCAGGTACAGATCACGTTGACAATGAAGCCGGCGGATGCCATCTGACAGAAGTCCACGTGGCCGGTTTCCTTCACCTGTCCAAGAGGTGTTGATAGGCTTGAGGGTTTGGGTTCTTCTTTTTGGGGAGGGGGGCGGAAGGGTCGGAGGGCTAGGGGGTTTCAGGCCCGAGGGTTTTAGGGCTTTAGCGCTTCAGGGTTTTAGGGTCTAGGGCTCAGGACTGCAGGGTCTTTGAGTCTCTTCAGTGCGGTTCTTGTATTTTTTGTGTTTCTGGGTACCGGAATCTGCAACAGAATGTGTTTGTGCGCTGGTGCTGAGACGCAGTCGTGATCTGTGAGCTTAAAGAAATCTTGGCGTTCACAAGGGTAAGGAATCCGAACAGGGATGTTTAAAATTTTGGTGGGGTTGTCTGTCGTTTTCTCCAAACAGAGGGTGCACCAGTCCAGAGACACGCATAGCTCAGCTATATCCCCCGATTATAAGCATACACCATGAAGCAGGAGAGCAACCTCCCCTGTAGTTTCAGCTGTATTCCACCCCCCGCTTGGGGCCATATTATGTATGATATATTACGCATTATATTTTAAAACTAGATAGCGATAACAGTACATCGTACATATTCATATTCCGAATGCCAATCTCATGAAGCGCAAGGCCCATGAGGTAGAGACAGCGACGAGATGCAGATGTTCACGCTTCCGGCCAACGTCTGGCTGTGCAGCCAGGGTGCGATGTAGTTCGGTGGAGTGGCAATTGGCAGCATAAACCTGACAAGCAGAAGCTCAGATACCGAAAGTCCATTCACCCAACTTTCTACCAAGGGGCTCCAAAACCCAAACACGCTGTAGACACGACTGAACGGTGCTTGAAGCCTCAGGGGACTTAGCAAACATGTTGAGGGCAGAGCCATTAGTACCTGACTTAGGTTATCCGAAGTCTAGCCCCACTAAGAATACGAATTTCAATCGCGCAATGTCCCCTGATCCTTTAAGTAAGGACGCTCTACTGAAGAAGGCTTGGGAGTAAGCTCGCTCGCAGACTTGGGCCGTTAACAGCAAATGCCTGTGAAGCGCAGTCCCAACAATCAGGGTTTAGGGTTCAGGGTTTGAGAAGACCATCGTCTTGAGGTGGATTGCTTGAATTATAAAATCATATGGGGACCAAAAAGAATATCATTGCTAGTTATTCCAGCTCTTCTATTGAACCCTAAACCCCTAAACCCCTAAACCCTAAACCCTAAACCCCAAACCCCTAAACCCTAAACCCTAAACCCCTAAACCCGAAACCCTAAACCCCCTGGGGAAACTTTCTGGTCGAAGTACGCGCAGCTGGCTCCCAGGGCGACCCCAATCGCCGGTGCCACGGCGGCGTTTGGGTCGTCACCTGAACTTCGCGTGGATATAGGGGTTTAGGGTTTAGGGGTTAGGGTTTAGGGTTTAGGGGTGTAGGGTTTAGGGGTTCAGGGTTTGGGGTTCAGGGGTTGGGGGTTTCGGGTTTAGGGGTTCAGGGTTTAGGGGTTTAGGAATTAGGGTTTAGGGGTTTAGCGTTTAGGGGTAAGGGTTTAAGGGTTTTGGGTTTAGGGGTTTCGGGTTTAGGGGTTTGAATAGTGTAACTGTTCACACACACACACGAATGCACTACAACATAGCCCAATACTGATCGAATGCGTTGCGGGGTAACGAGAGCTTCGGGCTTGTTATTTAAAGCCCCAAACCCAAAACCCAGGTTTAAGAGCACTGGATCCTTGCATATATGCAACATCTGGAAGCCCCAAAGCAAAAACCAAGTTCCCAAGGCCGGATTAAACCCGTTTGTCTAAAATCCCAAGCCCCAAACTCCATACCCAAATCCTCATGTAAGTCCTAATATCCCAACCCCAAAACCAGGTTCCACCCTAAACCCTAAACCCCGCGCTTCTAACACTGAGCTTAGGGCGGACTGACTTTGAGATCGCGATGACCACGGGAACCTCTGGACCAAGGTTGGTTTTGACTTGTATTGTTGGGGCTTAGGGTTTAGGGTTTAGAGCTTGTTGCCCTAACCATCACTCCGAGTAACCGACAAGTAGGTGCTGCCGGCAGATATAAATGTACTTTACACCACAGCCGAGACAGCATTCGTATACTTGGGGTCGTAAGGTTTAAGAGTTGGGATGTAGGGTTCAGACAGAATCTACAGCGATAGAGTCTAGAGGCTGTGCTTGGGGAGTTGAGGGACATTAAGATGTCGACATGTACGTGCTAGCTGAGGATGCTAAGGTTCCCTAAACCCTAAACCCTAAAAGGTTCTTCTGCAGCCTTTAGGATCAGGTCCGCAGAAGGGCGTTGCATCTACGTTTAGCGCTTAAAGGGCCCGAAACCCTAAATCCTAAAGCCGCAAAAAACTCCATGGAAGCCAGTGCAAATCCTATAGAACTCTTATAGGAATCTGTAGAGAGATCTGTATGGAAACCCTCGTGATGGATATTTCGACGCGGTCTGAGGTTTATTGTTTAATATAGGGGCCACAATAATTACCTAAAATATATATGTTTTGCTTTTTTTTGTTGGGGGGGTCCTTATTATAAAAAAAGTATAATGGGCCCCAAAACCCATTTCAAATTATTAAGGCCCCTTTTTTCTGGGTCTAGGGTATATAGGGTCCAGGGTTCAGGTTTTCTGGGCTTTTTTGAGTTTTAGGGTCTAGCAGAGGCCTGAGGTTGAGGAGTTTGGGGTTGAGGACCTCGCTGAGCTATGTGGGTTCTGCCCTGGACCCAACGAAGCCTAATCTCACTATTTTACATATATATATATATATATATATATATATGTATATATACACATTATAATATACATATATATATATATATATACATACAGAAAGGGACGCTGTGGGGGCCCAGTTTTTCCACACACAAGGTCTTGCGATGTTTTGGGGATTGTCGCTTAAAGTGGATTTGAGGGATTTCTTGAATGCCGTGTCTACTGTATTGAAACACTTTTATCTATACTGCTTCAATGATGGACCACATGTTTGTCTTGCTTGTCATTAAGTATTGTGGGGCAGGACTCTCCACCCTTAAACCCTAAGCCCTAAACCCGGGTTCGGGTATAAGGTTCACGTAGGATTAAGAGTACCCGTTCGGTATCCTAAACCCACGACTATACGGGCCTAAATCATTACCAATACTACTTTGGGGGCTCCTTATTTACAACTATAGTAGAATATAACCCCCCCCCGAAACTATTGAAATTTAATCAGAATAGGGTTTGGGGGGTATATTCTACTATATTGGTAATAAGGAACCCCGAAGCCTTACTAGTTACCTAATAAGGAACCCCCAAATAGTGTAGTATGCTATTTTGGGGGGTCCTTATTATACTTATAGTATAATGGGCCGCAAAACCCTATTCTAATTATTCAGGCCCCTACGCTAGAACCCTAAATAAGCTTCTGCCGGTTCCAGGGCTGATGCTGCCGGGAGTCCATGATACTTGTAGTGGCTGTGTTGGACGTGATCTCTGTCACGAAGATAGTTAGCCTGACCGGCTTCAGGGGAAGAGTTTGAGCTTCAGGGTTCAGGGTGCATTTGGGGCTTCGGGATGAGGATTTAGATTTAGATGTTACCTTAAACTTAGCCCTAAAACCCTACACCCAACATCGATTGAAGCTTCAAGTCATAGAGCTGAGCGATCGATCCCACGAGAACCCCACCTGGCTGACGCGTCGCTCACCCGCAGTGGCTCAGGGGTTAGGTCTCTTGCATCGTTCATGGTTGGGGCGACTGGTCTGGGTCTCCTTGTTGCGGCTAGCTTTTCACAATCGAGCTTTTCGTCCTAGGCACTGTACGCTCCACTAATATGCCGGAACTGACCAGAAGATTGCTGAATGCCGCTTTACCTCAAGACGCTGAGCGCTCTGCGTCGAACTGAGGCCCAAACATGGTGGTGACGAAAGTGAGGACCCAGATATCATTGATGCCAGTGGAACTGACGAACTGCCTGAGAGATGGAGCTTTCGGATAGTTCAGGGCATAGGCAGCGCATGGGTTCCGTGTGCACAAGGACTCCACCCGCCAAGCCCCTTTCTAAACCTAAGCTTCTCCTAGACGAGGGCCAATCTTCCGTCGGCTTGATGGACCGTAGCTCTCTTCCTTAAACGCGAAAGCCTGAAATCGCAAATCCAATCCCCTCCAACCCCTAAACCCTAAGCCGCTCAAACCCTAGACCCTAAACCCCAAAACCCCAAATTCCAGAGGCACCAAGATGGTTAGCCGAAAATGAGCTTCTGCAGCTGTCGTACTGGCTCCAAAGCCATTGAGCAATGATGATGTAGATACGAACGTAACAGCAAACTGAGCATGCAACTATTTACGTAAAGTGAAAACCAACCAGAACCAGAAAACTGAGAGAAGACTATACAGAACCCCCTTATGCAGAATCCAGCTTGACGAAACTATGCAGAATCTAATCCTAAACCCAAGTGCTCCGCCATGACGTCGGCCAGGCCAGTTTCCTGCATCTGCGACCCGATGGCCAGGCCGCCTCCGACCCTCAGGGAGCGGAGTGTTTAGGGCTTTAGGGCTTCAGGTGTAGGGTTTAGGGCTCTCGGGCCTTAGGGTCACTCCTCAGTCAGGTTTGAGAGCTTCCTGCTTCTGACTTCCTGGGGTTTGACCCTAAACCCTAAACCCTAAACCCTAAACCCTAAACCCTAAACCCTAAACCCCGGTTTGAATATGATTGGGATGTAAGGCTGGAGCCTTTGGGTCTTCGGTCTTGGGGCATATAAGGAGTTTAGGGCTTAGGGTTTACGGAATTTACCGTAAACCCTAAACCCTAAACCCCTTATCCCCCAAGACTTTCCGTAAGGTTCCTTATAATAGAATATATGGCTGTAGCCATCATATGCCGCAGCGCACCCCCTTCGTTACAGCCTGGGAGTCTGGGTTCGTGGTCTGGCTTTTACAACCGAATTCATAAATCCCTAAACCCTAAACCCTAAATCCGCAAACCCTAACCTTAAATCCTAAATCCTAAACCCTAAATCCTAAACCCTAAATCCTAAACCCTAAACCCCCCTAAACCCTAAACCGTGCTTAGGGTTCAGGATTGACTCCCAGCGCAAAGGCTGTAGGGCCAGTGTACGGCCTAGGGACTGCCAGAATGCCCTAGCATCATCAATGCTGGCCTGTAGCCTTCACAAATAGTGCCGATGACTGCTAGCTGAACTGATAAGATGGTGGACAACAACCAGACTCATGACGCTGCGAAGCAGCACCATGGCAACAAGAAGCCTGAGCATTCAAACCGTAAGAACGATACTGATAATGATGGCCTGGCTAGTCATGTCGTCAGAGTCGGGATAAGACCTAAACTCGACAGCCAAACAACAACGCACCCCAACCCTAAAACCCCAAACCCTAAAACCCTAAACCCTAAACCCTACACCCCAAACCCTAAACCCAAAACCCTAAACCGCAAGCAATCTTGCGGCCAAGCATCAGCATGACGATCCCCCAGTCTGCGTTCTTGGCCACAGACCATGGTAGGACCCGGTGACCGCCTGCGAATCTCGATGCCTAGCTAAACCCTCAACTGACTTGTCGGGTATCATGGGGAACTAAAGGTTAACCTTTTGGGTTTCTATAGGGGTTACATAGGGATATACTACCCGAAAAAGGTTAAAGGTTACCTACTCTACAACTAGGTCAACCCTACCTTAAGAACCCAAAACCTACTTTTTTGTAGGGTCCCTATAAATCCCATATTAGGGCTTACAGTAAGAACCTACCAAAAAAAGTGGCTTTGGGGTTCTTAAGTTAGACCCCAAGTCCTAAACCCTAGACCCCAAATCCTATACCCCCAAATCCGAAACCCCAAACCCTAAACCCAAAATCCTAAATCCCAAATCGAACACGCTAAACCCCTAAACCTGAAGTGCAAGAAGGCTTCGGGCTGAGTGTTCGGGGGTGACGCATGGGCCTTTGTAATTGGAAAAGGGTTTTGGGACGAACTAACCCAAAAAATGGAAGTATGCATAATACATCTATGTATGTGTGTGTGTATACATCTATAGATGTGAACTCATGTGAACTCAGACTGTAATCCCCCTGTCGTGCTCAGATTTTGAGGTTTTCTTTCAAATGCTGAGCCCCAAACCCTGGATCCTAAGCTCCCGTCGCCCAGGAAGGAGGAGAGGATCGGGGGCTTTAGGAGGATCTTAGGGGCTTAGGGTTCGGTGAGGGCTTAGGGTTTAAGTAAGTGGTTAATGGTTCAATTAGGGTTTAGGGTTCAGTTAGGGTTTAGAGTTTAGGGGTTTAGGGTTCAGGGTGTAGGGTTAAGTGGACATGGCCCTGGTTTGCGGTTGAGATCAAAGCAGAGGTTGTAAGACTACGCCGATGTTGCGACTTTCGGGAGCTTCGAAAGGAAACTCGAGAGTGCGGATGAAGCAGCCACTCCTCCGTCCCACATGATTAGATGACACACGCATACATAGATGTATGCATATATATATATATACACACACTTATCTATGTATTTATTCATGTATGTATATATTTATGACATAGATACATATATGCAAATATGTATGTATATATGCATGCATGTATATATGTATGCATGCAGGCAGGCATGCATGCATGAATACATGTATGTATGCGTGGCAGGGCCCAGACGCATCAAAAGTTCCCAAAGTAGGATGTGTATGGATTCAGGGTCAGGCCCCATCTTCATACCTCTGTCTGGAATCCTGCCTCTGGGACTCTTTCCACTTTGGAAGTCCTAAACCCTGAGCCCTAAACTCTTATGTGTAGCTGTCAAAATTATGGTCCCTTTTGGGGTACCCTAAAAATTAGGTGCCGCATTATAATAAGGACCCAACAAGGGACCATAATTTTGACAACCACCCCTATAACACCCTAAACCCCTAATGAAGCCTCCCACAGGGGGCCCAATGGGAGCAGGGCGCGGAGAGTCACCTGGCTCATGACTGACCGGCAGAATCCCTAAAAAGTCGTGTCGGGTTTTTGGGTGCAATATTAATAATTTCAATAGGTCTTGGGACTAGATGGTACTAGAAGTATATGCGGACTACAAGAGGATAGTATCGGATTGAGGGAATACGTAGTACAGTACAAGCCAGAAATGTTTGGCATCAGGGTTTGGTTTGTTTACGGGATTTGGGGCTTAGGGAGGGTTTAGGGCTTCGGCCATCTTAGGCTGCACAATGCGAAACACCCGGTTCAGACATCTACAGATTGTATTCCAAAAAGATCTCTAGTTGGTATCTCTGGTTGCAAATCCTCTGTTGTACTGGGCTCATCATGCTTTGATCTCGACAGTGCCATAGGGTCAGATTGGAGTTCACCCCGCCGAAAAGGCATGCCATCTTCAACGTAGCATCGCCGACAAGCTTTGTAATCAAGCCAGCAACCCCGGTTTTGACACGCATCCTAAACCAAAACCCGACACCCCGTGATGAGATAGTAACGTTGAGCCGAACCCCATTCACCCTTAAAGAATCTTAAAGAGCCAGCACGCGGCTTCCGAGCTTCCCTTGATTCTGAAGGGCTTGGAAGCTAAGTCCCACCCAACCCTGAAGCCCCAAAACCTCTGGACCCCCAAACCACCCGAAAAACCGCAAACCTCCCACACTCCCAGGGTGTAGCACTTTTCCTAACAAGAAACCCCAGGTCAACAACAAAAAAAGAAAGGTGTTCTACTGAAGAACACTGGATGCAGTTTCAGCAAGCTCGTGGCAACAGGTTAAAGCCTCTGTGGGGTCATCAACTGAACAGTTCAAGACTTAGACTCGTCTGGGTGTTTCTGCTGGAGCTTGAGCTAGCCTGCAGTATCCTGCACCGCAAACTCCACACTCTTCAAACCCCAATGCCACGTCCCCGAATCTTCAGTCCGAACACCTAGGTGTCCTTAAATCGCCGTGTCCCTGGCCTTTGTCTGAAATGATGAACATGGGAAAGGTACCGATGAGGACCGATACGCCTGCAGCTCAGCACTACGGCTTCGGAAAACACAGGGCCCAGTACAGTTGAGGAAGTTGGTGTTGAGTGCGGAGCGTATACTGGATGTCTGCGAATGTTTATCGGCAGCAGCACAGCTACAACTGAAACGCACGACGAACCACCGAACCACTTGCTAAACACCATAAAGTCGTGTTTGGGACCAAAGTTCGAGACGTGCTTGAGCCCCGTACCCGAACTGCTCTGTTCTGCTCGGCATGATACTGTGGCCCTGTTTTCTCCTACCCCATGGCTCCAAGGCATGCTACACAAGGCACTTCGACATGCTTTGCTAGTTGGCAGCAGCTGATGCCGCAAGGCCATCATCGTGCTCTTCAAGACAAGTCGGACATGGTCGGATCGATCGGCTCGCTGGTATACATCATGATGCTAAACTTTAACGTACTATAATTTACTGACCTAGTGTATATATATATATATACAGGTACAATGAACAATAACGAGGCTTCGGAAGATCGATGGTGCTGGCCACTTCAGAAACACCGTGAGTGTCAGCATGACCCTCATCCTCCTCAACAGGGGCATCATCGGCATCTGCATCGCCATAATTAAGCAGTATAGCTGTCACTGTCACCTCTTTTCCCTTTCCCCTCGCCTGCGAGGAGCTTGTGTTTGACCATTTCGTGATGGCTGCCATGCGCCAAGGCATAGAAAGCCGGAAATACCCAAAGAGATGCCGTGAAAACGAAGGAAGCAGCCACCACTTTCCTCGCGAGCTGGTATAAAGGTTTTGGTAAGGACAGACTGCTTCATGTCTTGTGGTTCAGCGTTCAGACTTCTGTGGTGAGGGAAAAGGCTTCTACAGTTGAGGGTATAGAGCTCGGGATTTTGAATGTGGGGTTCAGGTTCAGTTTCGAAACTTCACGTAGGATCTGCAGGGCATGGTGGGAAACGCGGTGTGTAAACCTGGCTAGATTTCGGTGGTACTGCTAGGATGGCTTCTTCCTGCTTTGGGTTCACCATTCGACGAGCAAAGCTAACTGAACCCCGGAATCTGAAACCCTGGACGCTGAACCCAAGCTCCCCGGACTGAAGCCTACACCTCCAAGCTCTCTCAAACAACACGACTCAGACCGGCAGTGCGATTACTACTAGTGCTACTGCTACTGCTGCTACCTGCTGCTACTGCTGCTACTACTACTACTACTACTACTACTACTGCTACTACTACTACTACTACTACTACTACTACTACTACTGCCCAACCACTAGCAGCAGCAGGAGAAGTAGTAGTAGTAGTCGTCGTCGTCGTAGTAGTCGTAGTCGTAGTCGTAGTCGTAGTCGTAGTCGTAGTCGTAGTCGTAGTCGTAGTCGTAGTCGTAGTCGTAGTCGTCGTCGTAGTCGTGGT